TTGTGGCAGCCCTAATGAGTAAAGACTGGACGTCTTATGAGTCGCTGTTAATTATGAATAGCTTTTCTCAGTCATTAGCACAAATTTAAAGAGGACATAAAAGGACAATTTAACAAGTTTTATAAATAATTACTATTGTTGGAATTTATTTTGTGAAAAACTGGGATTTAAATTGATTACTTAAATTATAATTGATTTTCGTGTAATAGAAACTTTCTGGCTCAGTGATGACATCACAGAAGACGAGGCTGGCAGCCATTTCAACAACATACTGAGACTCCTTATATATACTTTCCAGTCGAGCAGGAGGAGAGAAAGAGTTAGCTCGGAGGAACTGGGTATTCAGAGGGGTTGGGCAGCATCACCTGGTGCAGGTGTGGACAGTGCATGGAAATGCCGATCAGCTGTCAGGGTACTGGTGTGGATCACATGCTTGGAGATCCACCCATTCCCCCATGACCGACATTTCCCAGATGTTCTGCTGCTGATGTTGGAAATGGACACGCATCAGCAGCAGGTACGCTAACAATAACTAACGGTAGCTTGTTAGCATCTAAAATGTGACAAAATGATGTCTGAAACTTGAAACTTTATAATTTAAATATGTCACTAATTCTAAGTTGCCATATACACTATCACTGTTTGGTTAATAAAAAGCTCTTTAACCTGCGAGTTTGCTAACTAGCAGTAGTTCTGAGGTATGGCTGAGATATGGTACAAAAAGCATAAAATCATAGATGTTCTACAAAAACTAGCTTTGACTTATTTATGACTTTGACCCTGTGGTTAAACGAGGCTAACTGCACAGACAGGCTAACCTAAAGTGCTCCTACAAACCCCAGCATTGTGGCTAGCTATCACTTTTGTGCAGCTAGCCAATAATGAAGAATCACTCGCTGCTTAAGTGGTAAAGAGAGCAGATGGACTGTTTCTATTAAATTAATTGCTGCAGCGATGACTATGGCCAAGTCCTGGAATATCGACATCTATACAGTTATCTGGATATTTGCTGAGATCTCTGCTCTGTAGCCAGCCACATCTGTCCCAGATGTGAAGTATACTTTAGCTTCAAATCAAAACTTTGTGTTATTTCCATTCAGTCACTGCTTTAAGTGATGTATACACCAAATGAAACCAGCACAGAATACCAGATTATTGCTTTTGTTGTCATCCTTGTGTCTGATTGGTGCACAGTGTTAACCAGCAGTGTTTGACAAATCAGCAAATCTAATCTGATCATTTATCTGAAGCCCTGTCATGGCTGGTGAATGACTTCAGTGCTGCATTTGTCCTGAACGCACTGTTGTACTGTACACAGGGTAAAGTTCATTTAATATTTATATGGATTTTGGTTTGTTTAGAAACAGCTCTCATATAAATCAGTTTAATTACACAACAACAAACATTTATAATGTTTTCTTTCTTCTAATTCACTGTAAGTCCAGTTTAATAAAGACCAAACATATTAAATCAGCAGTTGCTCGCTCTGCCTTTATTTAAGCATTTCCTGTTACATAACTACAGTTCATCCTTGTTTATGGAGAATAAACTACCTCTGCAGGCTGTTGAATGAGTGAAGGTTTGATCCTGGTAGGTTTTCTTTTCACTGGCTGGTAGTTTGGAGCTGACTGACTGCTGAGTCTGGTCGACTGAAATCAGCAGCTGCTGCTGTCCCTGAATACCCTCCAACCCACCCAGCTCTGCTTCTGCACCCACCACCTCCAGTCTGTATCTCTATATTTACCCGGGGTGGCGTGCCTGAGGCCCCGCCACCGACAGAAATGTATGACGCCTATAATGTGGCGGGTTTATTTTCATATGGCGAGCAGTGACCTCTGACTTCTGCACACCAGGAGAATTCGGTTAGACAGTCGATGCTCCTGTGAGGGGGGGTGCAGCGATAGCAGGAGCTGAAAGTACGACTTTCATATCCAACATCTGTGTTTGTTTTCAAACCACAAACTCCCACATCATTGATGCACGTAAACACTCTGTGACCACGCTCTGTCGTTTGAACACTATTACACTGAGATACGCACGACTCTGGCAGCTTCACTTAATGACTAATTAAATCTGATAGGTGAGCACAAAATACCGTGAGCCAAGTTCACTTTTCATGTGCTGCAGCCTGGTGGTCGTGCCAGATGATGCTGCACAGATATTGGAAAGTAAAGTCATCACAGTCCAGCTTTTACCGCCATTACTGTCTTTGTATCAGGAGAACATGAGGAAGATCCTGAAGATTTGTAGACTCAGCTTCTTCACACCTGCCTCATGCCTTCATCTGTCTCCTGACCCTAATCATTTTGACATTTATCAAATTATGAATTTATTCTAGGGGCAGGGTTTTTATTTTTTCAAAATACTAAAATACCCG